TCCCCCGAGCGCCGAGCCCTGGCCGCTCCCGGGCCGCCGCGCCCCCTAGAGCTGTGGCGAGAGCTGCTGCGGGGACCCGGCAGGTGCGGGCACCGGGCACGCGCGGGAGCGCCCCAGCCCCCTGGGAGCTTTATTGTGAAGTCAAGTCCAGGGGCGCCCGGGCTTCCCCTCTCGGGCGGGAGGGGGCGCGCTGCGTGGCGCTGGGGCGCGCCGGCCGGGTGGGGGTGCGAGGCGGCCGGATGCGGGGCGCCGGGGGCGGGGCGCCTTCCCCCGCGGGAGCCGGTGGCCCGAGCGGCCCGGAGCGGGGCCGGGGGCGGGCGGGGGCTGGTTGTCATGGCGACGGGCGGCGGCGGCCCGGCTGGAGGCGGTGGCGGGCGCGGGCTGGGGCGGCGGGAGCTAATTCGCATTGCACCAAATCGGCCTCGCGTCCATTGCGGGACGGCCCGGCGGGGAGGGGACCCGGGAGCCTCCGGGCGGGAACGCGCGGGACGCGCCAGCCGCTGCGCGGTGGTCCCTTCGCGAGCAAAAGTCCCGCGGGCATTCGGCGGCCGCGCGGCGGGGGGATGCGGGGACTGCGCCGGGTGCCCTGGCCCCGGGCTGGAGCGGACGGCGGGCCTGGCCGGCCTCGCTCGCCCCGATCACGCGTGGCTTCTCCCAGAGACTTGGTGGGAAGTGGACGTCTGTCCCCAGGCCCCTCGCAGGAGGGCGCCCTCCTGGGCCCCACCGGCAACTGGCGTAGTAGGGTACCCCGGTGGCCGGCAGGTGCAGGCAGGTCCTTCCTTACAGCCTGGAGAGACTAACCCAAAGATTCCCTCCGGCCTCCCACCTCGGAGGAGGTGTCCTGCGGCCTGCCCACCCCGCTCCCGGTGTCCACCTGTCGGCGGGCGGCCCACGTGCTGGTTCCCTGGTCCCCAACCTGCAGGGACAACCTCCTGATCGGAAAATTTTAATGTTAGTAACGCGACTTCCCCTCCCTTAGGGCCCCTGGGCTGAGTTGGGTAAACAGCCCTGTCTCTTGATTGGGGACACCTGTCCCATTTTCCCAGGACTGTTCCAATTTCACTGTAAAAGGAAAAAAAAAACTGCTCCCTGAAAAGGAAACTTCATCCAGCAGCACCTTCTGCCTAGTTCTGACTAGCTGGATGCAGGCCGGCTGCCCTCCCTCCTCCCCCGACCCCAAGGAGGTCAGCGGACACAGTGGCCTCCCCATCCCTGGCACTTCCATGCTGGTTTCCATCTTTCAAAGACTGTTGGCTTAAGGCTCTCCAAGCAGAGAAGAGCAAATGGGGGGTTACTTGCTGGTTAGGAACACAGACCAAACCACAAACCCAATTTCCAAAAGAGACGTGGGAAGAATTACTAAGGAACCTCTCTCAAAGTTGGAGCACATCACCAAACTCCAGGACAAACAGCTTCCCTTTCAACAAGAAATATATTTGGAGAACTATCGTATCTTTTATTGGTGCCAAAGTTTAGGTAATTGGAACAGAGGGAGGCAGAGCATGAGTCAACTAAGATCCCAGCTGACGCTTTCGCATGCCGCACGGCAGCATCTTGTCCTTTTTTTCTCTTCCCTTCCTCTCACTCTATTTCGTTCTCCTCCTTTCTTGTCCTGTTCTTTCCTTGCTATTTTGCCCTTGCTCCCCCTGCTTCGGGAACAGCCTCCAGAGCCCATGGAAATAACTCTCAGTCTCAGCTTTTGACCCCACAGCTAAAGTGCTGATATGCTCTGTGCCCCTCTGTCTCTCCTCTGTCCTCCTCTCCCTCTCAGAAAGAGGCAGTTTTACAGGAACAGTAAAGGTGAAGTTCTTTCTGCATGGATCTGTGGCCATGACTTTGACCCCTGGGCTATAAGCTCCTGGAGAGCAAGGAACATGTTGACCTTCTCACCACTGTCCCCCAGCACAGGCACAGTGACCTGCACATACTGATCCACAAATGTGTGTTGCCTGCATCAGAAAATGAGATGGAGTTAAGACAGCCGTTTGATATTTGTCGTACTGGGTGACGTGCTATAAGGAGCTTTCTCTCTTTTCCCAACTTTCTGTAATGATGTTCAGTTAGCGTTGTCCTGCTACTTTCAGCTGGACTAGGACCATGAAAAAAGACACATACTTAATGAGGAATTGGGGGAGTAAGGCCCAGAAGAATGGATCCCAAAGAAGGAAATGGAAATGCCAAAGAAAATTCGGTCTGGCTTTATTATGGTCACTTCTCCCTTGCTGGACACCATAAAGTAAAAGCTCTTGATCCCGGAAATCACGATAAAAAATGAAACCCTCCATTCCCTAAGAATGGTTGAATCTTAGCCCTGAAAACGTCCTGATTCTGTCTACTGGAGGGCCTTAATTTGGACTGTTGTCCAGAGTAACCAGTCACCTCCTCCAGCATGCCATGTTTTTCTGGAGGAATAGGGGGTGGCTCTTTCTTCCTTCCACCCTAATTCCATTGTCAGTAAATTGTTGCCTCTCAGTCAAAAGCTGTCTGTTCCCCAACAATTCCACTCCAGGAAGCTTTGCCAGGTATTCTAGATGACTAAAATTTAGATCCTAAGTCTTTACATATCCTTAAAATTCTTAAAAATTTTAAAGAACCCAAAGAAGAAGCCCTTTTAATAACCCCATCATTAAAGAGTTACTGATTTATGCCTATCGAACTCTTTTCCAATTAGCACTCCTGCCAATACGCCATGCTTCTGTGGCCCAGGTTCAGTACTGGGCAAATGGTGTAGGGGAAACAAATACTATCTAAAGCAAATGCACTGATTAAAGGTGGAAATTTCAAAAGTACCTCTGTTCAACTAAGCCAGGAAGGCAAGCTGGGTTGTAGAAAGAACTAGAAACCCAGAAACTAGACTCAAGTCTCAGATCTGTCACTGAGTTTGTGTGTAAAGCACTTTACCTACATGAGCATAGAAAGTAGAGGTTGTAGAAGAGAAAATGGTACCTAAATTGGGTGATTTTTAGGATTCCTAAATTAATGGGGATTTTTAATATGATAAAAAGTTTATCCAGAATATCATTACTTTGAAAACTTAAGAATTCTTTGGCCCAAAAAATGTATTGATCAGGCCGGGCGTGGTGGCTCACACCTGTAATCCTAGCTCCCTGGGAGGCCGAGGCGGGCGGATTGTTTGAACTCAGGAGTTCGAAACCAGCCTGAGCAAGAGCGAGACCCCATCTCTACTAAAAATAGAAAGAAATTAATTGGACAACTAAAAAAAAAAAAAAAAAAAAATTAGCCGGGCATGGTGGCGCATGCCTGTAGTCCCAGCTACAGGGAGGCTGAGGCAGGAGGATCGCTTGAGCCCAGGAGTTTGAGGTTGCTGTGAGCTAGGATGATACCACGGCACTCTAGCCCAGGCAACACAGTGAGACTCTGTCTCAAAAAAAAAAAAAAAACGTATTGATCAGAATATTTTATTAGGTGACCTCATATAGATACAACCTACATGAAAAACTTGCTTAAATCTCAACAAGGATCATTGCAGGGGAAGACATAACATTTTTGCTTCCTATATACTGATGATTAACATAAGTTGTTGATGGTGTGCGCTGGAACTACATCAAGGAAACGGATAACTAAATGAGGAATCACACAAAACTGCTACCTTTACAAAAAGCAGTCTGTCGTTGGGGCAACATGAAGACGAGGGACTCAGCATTGTAGTTTCAGATCTCTGTTGGGAGAGGTAAAGACTAAAGGAAACTTCTGTGACAAACCTGGGTCATAAAGAAACTCAGTGTGATCCAAGGAGAATTCCAGCTAGCCTGGAAGATGCCACTCCTTAGCATGAACCTCTTGAAAGTAGTTGTTCACGAAAGAACCTCATCTAGTTCAAATATGCCAAAAGATCAAGGTGGGACCAGCACAAAATCTTTACAAAATTCCTCCAATTAAAAAAAAAATAGTGAAGAAATAGAAAAACAAATGGCAGTGAACAGTCAACACAAAAAAAACTTTGATCTAGAAGAGATAAAGTTTGCGTTCCAACATGTCATAATTTTTTTTAATTTAAAATATTTGTTGTATAAAACAGTAACTTAAAGCAAAGATGCAGTTGCTCAGAGAAGATAGGGCAAGTCAGGAAAAGCAGTTAGAACATGAGCTGGAGTTGCTCGAGAAAAAAGCAGGAAAAAAATAAAATAATCATAGATGTAAAGGCTACATTGGGAAAAAAATAAAAGAATACATTGGAAATGGCACAAGGAAAATGGCTACACACCTCTAAGGCATAGAAAGGACAAATCAGGAATAGTGACGATAAAATGGAAGGGATCAAGATTAGCTAAAAAGTTATATGAAATATGTAGGAAGCTCAACATATGCATAGATGGTATCCCTTATGAAGAGATTGAAATAACGGAATAAAAAATATTTAAAGATGTTATTCAAGAAAACTTTCCAGAGATGAAGAAAGATTAAATCCACAGATTGAAAAGGCATATCATGTAGCGTAAAATATATGGATGATTAATATCAAGACGTGTCCTAATAAAACTACTCATCTCCAAAGAAATAATCCTTTGGTTTTTCTCAGAAAAGAAAAAAAAAAATCAAGTCACATATATTGAAAAAATATATATATATCGATCTGTCACAGACTTTTCTATAGCCATGGCTGGTGAAAGAAGGCAATGTCTACAAAGTCCCCGAGGAAAGAAATTATGATATAAGAATTTCATCATAATTGCTAACACTTCTTGAGTTTCTATTATGCATCTGGCCC